GGAAGCCCATGTCTTTGATTCTTCCCATGAGATGGTTTATGATTGAGTTGCGTCTTGCGTCGAGTGTATGTTCCTTCGACGGCGCCGCGCTATCCCCTCTCCATACTGAGCTTCTTGCCTGCCCAGTAAAGGGACTCGGAACAAGGCTGTCGCTAATGGTCTATAGCATACGCGCCTCAAATCCATCCTTTGCCCTTGTACGTCCTATGGATTTGAAACTCCCTAAATGAATAGTCATGAGCTAATGTTATGAGTTAGTGTTCTGCTTAGGGACTAAGTTATCCCTTTTATTATATATAGGTGAGATGGAGGTCGATGGCCTTCAAAGCGTACATCTCTTTAGTAAGAGACGAGGTTCGCGAATAAAATGTGCAAGTCTGAAGCCTCAAGTTGTTTTTCTTTTTTTTTCCCCCGCCTTCTTGTTCTATCGAGCCTTCATAAAAGCAACTCGACCTCGTGGACGGTGTCTTTTTACGTCCTTTAGACACACTGCAACTCATATCGAAGTATGGCATGTTCAAAAAGATGATGAGAATCGGCCGCTCGATGATGGTCTCCTGTCTCTTTCAAGAGTAACCCGAATAGAATGGTGCGCGAGATAAGGACAAATAGGGGTCCACGGTATGGACGAAGCTGGAGATTTGATCTAGATCAACTCCACTAGGAACTGATAATGAGACAACGTGCCCTGTATCAGGGGTACGTACTAACGCTAGCTGACCAGGCTGACCTGGCTGACCTGTGGTTCTAACAGGTATAGTGGGGCTTTGATAAAGACAGGGGAGGGAAAAAAGAAAAAGAAAAAACATTGGGCCGATAAGGCACAGTTTTTTTTTTTTTTTCTCGTCTCAAATGCGCTTCTTGCAATGTGGTAAATCTGACTTCTCACACATTTCCCATTACAAATTTGGAGAACTGGTTCAACGACAATTCCTTTCCCAGCCCACGTTCGAGGGCGCTTTGGGCAGTCTTGACTGACCCTTTATCACTTTGCGCGCTCATTTTTATAAGGCTTAGACGAGTTAGTCCTTCATTCGCATTGGGTCTCAGCCCGACACCGACAATTCGCGATGCCTCACCCAGTGTCGCCGCCCCTGATGGTGGCCAAATCTGGCGATGCCCCTCCCCCGCCGTCGCAACAGGAAATATCCGACATACTCAACACCATCTTCTTAGCTACCACCTCTTCTGCCTCCATCGATGCCTGCTACGGCCTGTGCGAAATCTTGTTGAATACCGTCGGCTTCCGCGGCCTCCACTCCTACGGCGTCCTGGCCGAAGTAAAAAAGGCCGCTTCTGACAAGAAGAGTGGCCTGCGACGCGAGAGCGCCCAAAACATCCTCGGCGCCCTCTTCGAAAAGTTCCCTCCCCGACAGCCCCTGAGCGAAGTTGTTTTCCTGCTACAGGATGGCGGTGTCGCCTCAGTGGCCCTGGACGCCCTGGCCGACAAAGGCACCGTAGTCCGCGATGCCTCACAATATGGACTCGATGCTCTCTTCGGCAATCTCAGCGCCGAGGCTATGGTTGTTGGCCTGCTGCCTGCACTCGTTGCCTACCTATCGAAGAGGACCGGAAAGTGGCAGGGCACGGTCGGCGCCTTGAAACTGATACAGAAGATGGCTGACAAAGCCAAGCTGGAAATCGGCTGCACCAAGGAGCAGGCCCAGGAGAAGGACATTCTTCGGGAGGCCATGGGTGCGAAGCTGGCTAGCCTGATCCCCATCGTCGAAGACAACATGCACGACTTGAAGGCCGATGTCGAGAAGCAGGCTGTCGTGACCATGCAGTCTCTTACCACGCTGCTCTCCAACGATGATGTCGCCCCCAGGATTCCTCTCCTTGTTGACACCATGCATCACCCTTCGACCCAGACTCTTCAGAAAGCAATCCACGCTCTTTCGCAAACCACATTCGTCGCTGAGGTGACATCTCCCGTCCTCGCTCTCCTCACCCCCTTCCTCGAGCGAACCCTGAACAACCCTAGCACCGCCCAAGAAGTACTGCGACAGACCGTCGTCATCACGGAAAACTTGACGAAGCTTGTCCACGACCCCATCGAGGCGCGAACATTCTTGCCGAAGCTCCAGCCCGGTATTAAGAATGTGGTAAACCGTGCACCGTTGCCAGAGGTGCGTGAGCTCGCTACCAGGGCCTTGGACGTAATGGACAAGGCCATGGGCAACGACCAGGCAGTGGTGGAGAGAACCTCGGCGGACGATGTCGCCAAGGTGCTGGACGCCGAGATCAAGAACAACGGTGGGCTCTCAGGCGATCTGGATTTCTACAAGGTGGCCCGCCCTTACATCTGCGAGATGGTGGCCGAGGATTCCAACCATCGACAAGTCGAACGAATTACTGCGCGGATTGCACCTTACCTCAAAGATCTGATGCGTAAACCTGGTGCGAGCGATGCTGTTGCCTCTGGTGTCTACCAGTTCTATCTCGCTGAGGACCAACGCAAATATGGTGTGCCGGAGAAGGAAGATGATGGAGAGGTCGAGATTGTCAATGCCGATTTCTCGCTTGCCTATGGTGGCATGTTGTTGCTATCTCACACCAATTTGCGACTCTTGAAAGGACACCGGTATGGTCTTTGCGGTCGCAATGGTGCTGGAAAGTCTACACTGATGAAGAGCATTGCCGGCGGAAAGCTCGAAGGTTTCCCACCGCAAGATGTCCTTCGTACCTGTTACGTTGAGCACAACCAGGGAGAAGATGCCGACATCAGTATCCTGGACTTCATGGTCAAAGACCCGACCATCGCGTCCGAGGGAAGGGAAAGGATTTCCGAAGTCTTGGCTGAGTTCGGCTTTACAGCTGGCCCTGAGGGCAGACAGGCTCAAAATGTCGGCTCTCTGTCAGGTGGATGGAAGATGAAGCTTGCTCTTGCTCGAGCGATGCTGCAAAAAGCCGATGTTTTGCTGCTGGACGAACCTACCAATCACTTGGATGTCGCCAACATCGCCTGGCTGGAGAACTACCTCAAGACCCACACGGATATCACGAGCTTGATAGTTTCTCACGACTCGGGCTTCCTCGATAACGTGACCACTGACATCTACCACTACGAACCGGGCAAGAAACTTGGCCACTTCAAGGGTAACCTGTCCGACTTTGTCCAGGTTCGCCCCGAAGCCAAGGCTTACTATACTCTTTCTGCCTCCAACGTTCAGTTCAAGTTCCCGCCTCCCGGTATCCTGACCGGTGTCAAGTCGCAAACGCGAGCGATCATTCGCATGACGGGCGTTTCCTTCCAGTACCCCAAGGCACCCAAGCCGTCGCTCAGCGATGTGTCCTGCCAGCTATCTCTGTCTTCCCGCGTTGCCGTTATCGGACCGAACGGTGCGGGTAAATCGACTTTGATCAAGCTGCTGACTGGTGAAGTGATCCCGACCAGTGGAAGAGTAGAGAAGCATCCCAACCTGCGTATCGGTTATATCAAGCAACACGCTCTAGAGCACGTTGAGATGCATCTCGAGAAGACCCCGAACCAGTATTTGCAATGGCGATATGCCAATGGAGATGACCGAGAGGTGTTCCTGAAGCAGACTCGTATTCTTTCTGACAAGGACCGAGCGCAGATGGATAAGCCTATCGACCTCGGCGACGGGAAGGGTTCCAGGCAACTCGAGGCTCTCGTCGGTCGACAGAAGTACAAGAAGACTTTCCAATATGAAGTGTAAGCAAATCATCGGAGATCCACTTCGGGGCTCTAATACTAATATCATACAGGAAATGGAGAGCGTGGCTACCAAAGTACAACTCCCAGGTATCTCGTGAGACCCTTTTGGAATGGGGCTTCGACAAGCTGGTGCAGGAATTTGATGACCACGAAGCGTCCCGTGAAGGTCTCGGTTACCGAGAGCTCCAGCCCACCATCATTTCCAAGCACTTCGATGATCTCGGTCTCGACCCCGAGATTGCGAACCACAACGAAATTGGTAGCTTGTCGGGTGGCCAGAAGGTCAAGGTAGTCATCGCAGGAGCTATGTGGAACAACCCGCATTTGCTCGTCCTTGACGAGCCTACTAACTTCTTGGACCGCGATTCTCTCGGTGGTCTGGCAGTTGCCATCCGAGACTTTAAGGGAGGTGTGGTGATGATTTCGCACAACGAAGAGTTTGTGGGTGCGCTCGCGAATGAGCAGTGGCACATCAACGACGGTCGCATGGTCCTGAAGGGCAATGCTTCGATTGCGGCGGACCGGTTCGAGGACAGCAAGCCTACTAGCGGCGCCACGAGCGCCCTTACCAGCGGCGTCAACAGCACAGCGGCCAGCAGTGCCGTCAGCAGTGCCGTCAACAGCGGCGTCGAGGACAATACGCCGCTCAAGTTCAAGGCCAAGAAGAAGAGAAAGAAGACGAAGAAGGAGCTGAAGGAGCAGGAGGTTCGTCGAAGACTGCGCCACATAGAATGGCTCAACAGTCCTAAGGGCACTCCTCACCCGCCGGATACGGATGATGAGGCGTAATAAGTTGCCTATAGTGTTTTCATGAAATTGGCGCGCGTTTCGATCCCGCGGCCGATGGGTTTGGAGGTTGCATCGGGTTCCCTTTAGATTACCTAGGCAGAGTAGAAGGTGATGCATCGGTAGAATGCGGGTGTCTGGGACGCCAGGATCATAGTCCGAGACGACATAAAGGGTCTCTTATACAGGCGTTCTCGTATAGATTGGTAGCATGGCATGATAGAATCAGTCTTCGCGAATGCGAGCACTGAGAGTTGACAGATTCAATAAACGGCAATATATGGCGAATGGCGTCTCGGCTGCGTTTAATGTGCAAGTTCAATGATATATAACTCAGCCTTACAATAGATATCGCATGCATCACTGTCTTCAAAAACCCGGATTTTGTCTAGGTGCAACAGGCATAAATATGTGCAGTCCGGAAATAGGGGGTAGAGGGCGGCCCACTCGACGTGCGGATCGGCCAGCTCTAGGGTGCAAAAAACCAACTAACTATAACCCAAGTCAGCACCTGCCTTTACCATCCAAGAAGGCCCGCTTGGCACAGCGGTAATGCGCCTCACTAGTATCTGTAGATCCTACTGAGAATTCGCAATGAGGAGATGACTGGTTCGACTCCAGTAGTGGGCAATTCCTTTTGATTTTCTTTTTTCTTGTTCATTTGATTCGATATGTGCTATAGACGTTTTTAGATGTCTGTATTCTATCTCATTGTAACTTGCTTTGCCTTATCATAAGTCAATTACCTTTTAGTATTTTGTATTCCATCCTTTTTCTATACGGAACGTTCCAGAACGCGATCTCTTACTTCCATATCGGATCTCCATCATCAGGCAGCTGATCGACCATGTCACCAAACGGCGCTCCGGTGACAAGCTGGCGCATGTTCTGCCGCACGCTCAGTCTCACGTACGGCGTCCCCGTCCCCCTCGCGTACCCGCCGCCCTGGCCCTGAATATCCGAACCCCCGCCGCCTTTGGGGTAGTAGTGGCTGAACAGGGGCGGCTGCACCGTGAGGCAGACGGGGCGCGCGGCCGCGCGGTCGGGCGTCGAGCCGGATCCCCCTTCACACCACTTCTGCAGCACGATGTCCCACTGGGCGTCGTAGCGCGCGCCGAACTCGGACAGCAGCCGGCGGGCGCCGCGGCGGCTGACGGCGTAGGCCAGCGTGCAGACGTTGCCGGCGGACGCGTGCACGACGCGCGTGTGCGGCGGGTACTCGGCGCCCAGCCGGTCACGCGGGGCGAACGGGTGCGGCTTGAGGTGCTGCGGCGCCGGCACCGTGTCGTCGCCGGGCATCGCGATCACGGTCGGGGGCGCGACGGGAGGGTCGCGGAGCCCGGGCAGCGCCGCGCCGCAGTGCCCGAGCCACTGCACGTCCCAGCCGCCGCCGTACGCGCTGCGGACGTCGTCGTCGCCGCCGGCGTCCGCGAGCCCGGACTCGTCGAGCCAGGCGCGCGAGGCCGCCGCGAGGCCGCGCAGCTGCGGCTTGAGCCGCACGTCCCAGTCGATGTCGTCCTCGACGACCAGCGCGCTGCCCAGGCCCTCGTCGACGACCCGCTGCAGCGCGCTCATGTGCGACCGCCACGAGCCGCGGGCCCCCGCCGAGTGCCCCTTCTTGGTGCCGTCCGCTGCCGGCGCGCCGTCGACGCCGTCGACCCAGGACAGGCTCAGGTTGCTCACGGCGCCGGCCAGGACCATGGCGTCCCGGCGGTCCGTCCGCGACGGCAGGTTGATCACGAGGATCTTGGAGAACTGCATTTTCGCTGCCGTGTCAGTAGAGTCGATTGTAGCAGACGCCGTATCAATCGACGGAGATCGGTAGCTTACACCTAGCGTATTGTTGAACACATCTTCGGAAGCCGTGCTGGCGCCGCGCAGCAGCCGGTCTAGCGAACTAGGGATCGCGAACTGGTGCCAGTAGATGTAGATGAGGGGGGCGAAGACGCATAGAATCGTGAGGGCTCTGCGGAAGGGCGGCATCACGCGTTTGTGCCTGAGAGGCTGCACATTTTCTGCTGTTGCAAGCGCTAGTTCAAGGTCAGTAAATGAACTCCTCCCCACTCGGCGACGACTTTACTGATCGGCGGCGTACCTTCGGGGACGCTGAAGCGCCCACTCTGGCCTTTTTTACGGGGGTGCGGCTCGCCCATTGGCGGGTAAATGAAGCGGATGAATTCCAGCCTGCAACGACCATGGCGACGACGGCACAAAAATGAGCACCAAGGCGATATTTATGACAGTTACCTTGAGGTACGTGTCTCCTCCTATCTGATCGGGGGGCTATAAATTGAATAGTTGGGCACTCGTCTGGTGACGAAGTACCAAGACGGCTGCCTACCTACCTCCAATAGGACGGTAACCCCTGAGATCCAACTGAGACTAGGGGCGGCCAAGTGCATGAAGGAATAGACGATTCCTACTTGCTCAAGACAACCCAAGACACATTTAACAAGCAGTACGAGACAGCCCCTAGAAAACGCATGTGTGTCTCTTACCTGCATTCCCGCACGATAATGTGGAAATTACCAAGGCTCGAAAACCGAAGCAGGGAGGCCAAGTCTTGGCGATATATTCCTATTAGGCGGTCCGTACGAGAAGGTAGCACTCTTCACGTCAGCGTTCCATCGGCCACGAGCCGAGCTTCCGGGTCGCCTACCCAGCTACTATACATATCATGCGTAGCCTACCCCTTACCTTCCCTCACCCATCCAGCGCCTGCACGACCTGCGCCCAGTCGTCCGCCGTGTACGCGCCGGGCAAGTGGTCGCCGTCGAAGAGGCTAGCCATGACGACGCGATCCGCCTGGCCGCCGCGCCAGGGCTCGCGGCCGTGCTGCGCGACGACGTTGTCGAGGACCAGCACGTCGCCGCGCTGCCACCGGTGCAGCACGCGGATGTCGTCCGTGATGGCCGCCAGCCGCGCCAGCCACGCCTCGGGGATCGGCGCGCCGTCGCCGAACAGCTGCTGCGTCGGGTTCCCGCGCCCCACCCGCGCGCTCCGGTGGTACGCCGCGAGCCCCGTGAACAGCGTCGGCAGCCCCGTGCCGGGCTGCGTGCGGACGGCCGGCAGCCGGTGCGTCAGCACGATCCCGGCGCCTTCCCCGTCCTCGATCCACTCCCACGTCGTGTGCTCGCCCCTCCCGTACCGCGCGATCTGCGCCTCCACCTTGGCGCGGCGCGCCGCCGCGTCGTCGCCGTCCCGCATCTCCTTGCCGAACGCCTGCTGCAGCGTCGAGCCGCCGGCGTGCTGCGCGCTGGCGCGGTACGTGACGCGGCTGAGGATCCCCTTCTCGGCGAGCGCGCGCGCGAGCTCGGGCACCTCGCGCCGCGCGCGCTCGAACAGCTCGAGCGACGAGGACGCGGGGGTCTCGCCGCCGCGCCCGGGGGCTACCGCCCGGTGCCCGTAGAAGAAGACGTACTCGGGCGCGTGTGGCACCTGCGGCGACTCGTTGTGGTTGTATATCTGCACCTCCTTGGGCGACTCGTTGGCTGGTGCTACGTTGGGCGCCAGGAGTGGCCGGTCTACTACGATCCCGATAATCTCGTCTGTCGCGTGTTAGCATATACGTATGACCCGGGTTGCTCTTTTTCCGGAGGTAGCGTACTGCGAGGGAGAATTAGTCTCTGAACGTCTTTCTGCTCCGGAACAGCATGGTAGGTTTGAGGGAGAACGTGAGAGGCATTCCACATACCGAGGTTTGTAACCGAAGGCGTGGGCAAACTTGCTAAAGTCCTGCGCATCGTGAACTGGCAGGCCTCGAAACAGGAGCGCACCGTGGACGGCCAGCTTCTTGGTGAGTATGTCCCCCTTCGCCTGCAGCGACTTGATCGTCTCGACGACGGTTTCGAGATCAAGCTCCGCGCCGTCGGGGTTCGAGGGTCGCAGGGCGAGCGGGATCTTGGTGCCCTCGGGATGAGGCGGTCCCAGAACCCGTTGATTTCCTGGTGGAAGATCGAATTCCTCGAATATTATCCCTGGCGGCTCGGTTTTGCCAAGCTCAAAGGCTTCGAGAGGCATATGCGATACGAAGGTGGCCATGATGTCCAGATCTTGTCCGTCTAACTCCGACTGATCAGGCAAATATCAGGGCGGTCTTTTATTGATTTACAGGCTTAGATAGGTACCTGTTTAGGATGTTTATGAAGCTCTAACGTACACGATGGCATCGACATACAAGATCGGTATCGCCGCTGGCGGCATCCCGCCTATTACGCCATGCTCTCCTCCCCCGCGATGCCTTCTCGGAATCACGTCATCCCTTGAGGGCAATGAAACCATGCGGACTAATCTTATAGCAGCGTAGCATGGAACCCCGCGTTCCAGTTGCAAGTGCCTACTAATAACAGAGACTGGAAGGCCATCGACACGACACTGATGTTATCCAATTTGCTATTCAGAATTATATTAACGACTACCTAATCCCCGCTGGCAGCAATGAACGTAGGTTGCCCGAACCCTCGCGGGCCATGTCACCCCCCCCCCCCCCCCCAATCCCAATTTTAGGTATGCTAGGTACCTAAGGTAGGTACATTTTACGCCTACCAGCCTGCGCGTTCTCCGGGCTTTAACAAGACATGTCCGCAGATCTGATCCTCGCCGCTGTCGTCGCCGTCGCCGGCGTACATGTGCAGTTCCGGGTCGAACGAAACGTCGATGCCGTCGTCGGCGCGCGCGCTGGCCCCTGCGCCAATGGCGGGTTTGGAGGCAGAGGCTACGGCGTGTCGAGGTCGGGGACATAAGCAGTGGAGGAAGAGTAGGGGCCGAGGTGGTTAGAGGAGGCCGGGGTAGGAGAGGCTCGATCCGCGATGTAGACGTGGCCTTGTACACACTTAAAGTAGAAGAGGCCGTGTGGGCCGGCGGCGACGACTTCTTCTGAGTCTGTCGCAGCGAAATGCCCAACCGGGGGCATCGACTGTACCGGCAAAGTATTGCCCGATACCGACACCGCGGGCAGGCGTGAGAATGCGTTAGGCAAGCTTAGGTTGTTCATTTTGTAATGTCGAGCTCGATGCCCTTGTATACAGAGGTTTTTTGGATGATATCCGGTATTGGTGTGCCGCTTACTTCGCTTACTTGTGGACGGTTGCAGAGCTAGGTTGATGAGTTAATTTGGTGTGACGCCTGAGGGGAGGTGATGGGATACGGGACGGGGCCAGAGGCTTTGTTGTGGTGTTCCTAGACTGGTACCCGGCTTGGACTCTCGACAAATTATAAGCCCCAGAGTTCCCTGGTGAAGCGGCGGCAGTCGTTGACGTCGAGTATGTCGTCCCCGCCGATTCGAATTCTACGGCGTATACGGCGTCCGCGACGGAAGAAGAATGGGATGCTTGAGCGTGGGTCGTGGCGACGAGATCTTTGTCTTTTACCGTAAGGTATCTTTCGTTCCCTTCTTTGATCTCGCCAGACAGAATGGACTCTGCGTCCCGGCCGTGCATAAACCGTCTCGCGTAAGCGATGACGATGTGTCGATACTAGGTGATCTGGATCTTGAAGCCGAGCTTTCGCAGTGAATGACGGCCGCGGCCATGACGATGGGCACAAGCATTGCTTCGTTGCTGTGCAGGTCGTAGGTCAGCCCCGGCGGCGGAGCGACGTCCAGCTGCCAGTATGACTACCAGATCTCTTCT